GTTTTCGTTAACTCAGGGTATACTTACTCAGTTTTTCCACTAAACCGGCTTCCTGAAACAGGGCCCAGATCAGAGAACCTCTCTGAGATTCACTGCTCAGCTCTGGCCTACATTCTGCAGATGTCAGATGAGGTTCTGGATGAGTTGGACCTGGAGAAGTACAACACAACAAAGGAGGGACATTTAAGACTGATTCCAGCTGTGAGAAACAGCAGAAAGGCTCTGTGAGTCCAGATGTGATTGTAAATCAGTTTACATTAGTTGTATAGTTTATCAGATATTCTCACTACAATATTCCCAATGTTATTCTTATACTTTTACACTTTTCTTCTTACTTTCCATACATTACATTTCAGTTTGATCTTCTCACACATCTGGAGCTGATTCAAAAACTGTGAAAATATTTATTTATAATGAAAGATTATTCTAATTATTGCATTTTGTCAGTAGCTTAAAATTTTTGAAGCCGTTACTGAGTGTCAAAGTTATTTGGTTTCAGTAATACAAATGAAATCAGTAAAGTTATTCAGTAAAATCAGCTCAAGAGCAATATTTTTATAAAACTTGTAAAAACCAACATGAGACACAATGAACTACTGATCATGTGAGATCAGTAGTTCATGATCTAACAACATCTTTCTGATTACATTATGTTGAAAAATATTCAGCCCTACTGAATTATTAATTGTGTTTGTGCTGAACAAATTTTTCAGAAGTTAAAAATAATGCTGGGAAGCATTATTTAAGGAAGTAAGCACAGTCATATGTCATCCACATTGAAATATTTCATTATGTTTATATTTAATGAAGCTCAGGTCTGATACTGTTGAGTTATTAGTTTTATTCCTATACCACACGACAACAGATTCTAAATGTTTCAATTGTGGATTTGAAGCTGAAGCAGTGGGTGAGTGCTTATCCCATTCATATGCAGATTATGAATGAATGAGAAATCTCTCTCCTAAGCTGGGTAGGGCACACTCTACGCAAACCTCCAACCAACATCATAAAGCAGGCTGGAACCCCCAAGGCAAGCAAACTATTGTTTAATGTCAGTCAGATCAGGTTAGCTGAACCACTGGTGTCATAAAGCAAAATGCCAAACAGAAAATGCTTCTTATAAAATTTAGGGAGTAATCTAAAGTGTCTTCTTTATACAGTAATAACATGTTTTCTCCTCTACATCACAGACTTTGTAAAGCTTGGCTCTCAGAGACTCACTTTGAAATTTTGGGCTCAGCTCTGATGTCCAACCCCTCCCATCTGACAGAGCTGGACCTGAGCTTCACCCCCCTGCATATTTTGAGTGGAAACAACTCTTTGCAGCATTCAGCAATGAAACCATTGCTTGCTAGTCTGGAGAGTCCACACTGTAGACTGGAGACTTTGAGGTCTGTTCAGTTAGACTTTTCTTTCTAGGATATTAAAGTTGCTGGAACTATTAAATAATCCCATTATAACATAAATTAGTCTAAGTCTGTTAGCCTCAACCAACTAACCAACCCAGTGATGTAACATTCTGTACTGACTGAAGATGGCGCTAAATATGTTTCGAGCACTTTAAATTTAAGCACTCTTAAATCCAGCTTCACAGACAGTGTCACATCTATGTCACCTTTTGAATGCAGGGCTCAATGGTGTATATTAGCCTATATATGTGTAGTGTTTCAGTGCCCTTCAAGGTTAAGCAATAGTCCAAAGAAGGAGAACACTTTGTCACAGTGTGCAGTCGTGTTTAGGTAGACGCTAACTTGTTTAATGCATTTCTAAAGCATCACTGACATGTTTTGGTCAGTTAAAACTGTTCTTACCTTTGCTAAATCTTTATATTTTGCTGTACTTGAATCCTTCGCTGTAGAGGAACTAAACACAAGTAACAATTTTATTAGATATATATTGGTAAAACTTTTACTGCTACTATTCTTCTGTAGTTTTATAGTAGAACTGTGTTGAATGAGCTACTTACATTGACCTTTACTGAGAAAACTTTTATTCCGTCTATTTTATTTTTGTAGTGAATTATATCCTGCTGCTACTGCATGTACTGGTTATAGAATTATTTTTAATAACAGAGAGAGAGAGACCCACAGATTTTGTATTTTGGAGAGAGTCTGCCTCTGTGCACATTAACTGTGTAGATCTTAGAAAAAAGGATTATAGATATTGACACTGCTGGTCCTCAGACTTTCAAAACAATCATATAGCTGCTGCAGGTATTGCCACACATAATGCGCAGCCACTAGCCAGATCTCAACCACTGGGAGTCCTAACTCCTCCTCCTGGAGCATATCTGGTTTCTGCTATGAACACATGTATTTATTCCACTGCAGTGAGAGGCACCCAATCAGTGCTTTTTGGTGACAAGAGGCACTGATTGATGCCAGATACGACTTTAAAAGATTTCACATCCCCCAGTAACTCAGTTATTATTGCTGGCTCTTTTACCTAGTGCTAAAAGTGATTTGTCTCAAATTATTGCAAAATCTTGTGATTAAGGAAATTTTGTTATTCTTTATTCAGACTGAAGTGCTGCAGGTTGACAGAGACTGCATGTGCTGCTCTGGTCTCTGCTCTAAAGTCCAACCCATCCCATCTGAGAAATCTGGACCTGAGCAAAAATGATGTGCAGGATTTAGGAGTGAAACACATTTGTGGTTTTTTGGAGAGTCCACACTGTAAACTGGAGACTCTGAGGTCAGTTGCCTGTTAGCATTCTCTTAGAATTTATGATTAATATGAAGTTGTTTCTATTCTAGGAGTATATTGTTTAGTCTTTTGGGTATAGTATTATTTTCCACTCCTTCTGAATTCTGTTTTCCATGTTTCTAGCTCTTATTTCCTTGTTTGATTATTATAGTTTCCTTTCGTGTGTAATCTCTCCTAGTTTTATCTTTGTGTTTTGTCCTTAGCATCTTCGGTGTGAAGTCAGTTTTGTCTCCATATTTGTTTTCCCTTTCTGTTTTTCTCTTTCTGTTCCTGTGTTTTCTTATTTCTTGTCTTATTTTGTGAGTCCCTCATCTCATGTGCTTTGTGTTCAGTTTTGCTTCCCCTTGTCTCATCATTTAGATTCTGTTCACCTGTATCTTATTTCCCCCAGCTGTGTCCTTTCTCGCTAACTATGTCTTGTGTTTATTTAAACACCCAGTTTTCCTCAGATCCTTCTTTCATTCTCCCACATGCTGTGTATTCCTGTTTTCTGTAGGGTCCCTTTAGTCTCTAGTTTTGGTTTTGGTTTTCTATGAGTTCCACCAATTGACCTGTCTTTTGAGTTTGCTTGTTGTCTCTGGAGTCCTGCATATTGGGGCCTAAATCTCCCTGCCACACAGTGAACAAACATGGATACGAATGTTTCATGCACAAATCTTTAATTTATCAATATTTTCATCGTTTAATTGGTTTGTTCTTTAGGAAAATAGTCTCCCTGACCTTGCATATGAACAAATGACAGCCTTACTGCTTTTTCAATTTAAACATGATGAACGAGCCATCACTACTGTTACTAATAATAACAACAATGATTACAATTATTATTTTTATTCCCTTTGGTCATTGTTTACTGTTTTCCAAAACACCATATGCCATCAAATGAAAAATAAAAGGAATGTAAAGAAAATAAAATGCAATTGTGGTGACCCACTAGAGGACTCCACTTACACCCAAGCCGAGAGGAAAGATTCTGCTGTGTTTGGGCGCAATATGCTCAGTTCATGTTTGGAGGTGAAAAGTTGGAATGTAAAACCAGAGCTCCTGTGTCGTGTGTCACATGCCTCCATACAATCACTACGGGAATGACCACTCTTCAAAGGAAAAAATGAATTAAATTGAATTGAATGAAATCAAACATTTCTCAATATACAAATGTGGCAAGAACAAAACAGGCCAATACACAGGTTTCAATGATCCAACAGTAATTTTGCATGGTAACAAACTTCTTCAGTAGGTTAAAACATTTCCAACATTTCCAAGCAAATATTATTAAATGAGGCCACTGACGGGAATAGCAGACATCTCAGTGCTTAACTCATCATTTATAAAGCATTAGTTCTCCTTAGGATGTATTTTATAAACACATAAAACATAAATGTTATTCTTGATTAATGAACTTATATATAACATGTTCATGGTATCATAAGTGATTAACAAAGTATTTAGATGCATGCACACACACACAAATGTTTGCAGCTGAGAATAAATATTTCTATGTTCTGTATCTCTTTGTGCTTTGTCTGTGTCATTTTCCTGTTGTGGACATAGCTTAGACTTGTTTGAGTGTTAAGGTACTTTAATTTTCATTTTTAAATTCTTTTCTAAAGAGAAAGCACATTATTCCTATATTGGCTTCTCTTCATTTACTCCCTGTTAAATCTAAATTTAAAATTGTTCTCATCACCTACAAGGGCGAGAATGAGCAGGCTCCATCATATCTTAACGACCCTATATTACCATATCATCACATTAGAGCACTCTAATGGTGTGTGTGTGTGTGTGTGTGTGTGTACTTTGTTAATCAGTTATTGAGACTTTCTAAATGATAACGCCAACACATTTCAGGGAGTGCAGAATTATTAGGCAAGTTGTATTTTTGAGGAATAATTTTATTATTGAACAACAACCAGTGTTGGGAAGGTTACTTTTAAAATGTATTCCATTACAGAATACAGAATACATGCCCCAAAATGTATTCTGTAACGTATTCCGTTACGTTACTCAATGACAGTAACGTATTCTGAATACTTTGGATTACTTAATATATTATCATGCTTTTTACAACA